TTGAGGCGGAGTTTCGCTCTTGTTACCCAGGCTGGAGTGCAATGGCATGATCTCGGCTCACTGCAACCTCCGCCTCCTGGGTTCAGGCAATTCTCCTGCCTCAGCCTCCTGAGTAGCTGGGATTACAGGCACGCGCCACCATGCCCAGCTAATTTTTTGTATTTTTAGTAGAGACGGTGTTCCACCATGTTGACCAGGATGGTCTCGATCTCTTGACCTTGTGATCCACCCGCCTCGGCCTCCCAAAGTGCTGGGATTACAGGCTTGAGCCACCGCACTGGCAGGGTTATTTCATGCTCTTTACTCTTCTTTGCAAGAATGTTCCTATTTCTTGTGTTTGTTTTAGCATTATTTTTGTATTGAGATGTAATTCATATAACACAAAATGTATCCTTTTAAAGTCTATACTTCAATAGTTTTTAGTCTATTCACTCTGTTGCACACCATCACCCCTGTCCAATTCTAGAACATTTTCATCATCGCAAAGAAAGCCTCGTAGCTCTTAGCACTTAGTCTCAATTCCTCACTCTCCCCATCCCCTGGCAACTACTAACCTGTTTTCTGTCTCTATGAATTTGCTTATTCTGGACACTTCATATAAGTTGAAGCATATTATATGTAACCTTTTGTGCCTGGCTTCTTCCACTTAGCATAATGTTTTCAAGGGTCATCCAAGTTGCAGCATGTAACAGCGCTTCATTATTTTTGATGGCTGAGTCATATTTCATAGCGTGGATATAGCACAGTTGTTTATCCATTCCTCAGTTGTGGCCATTTGAATTATTTCCAGTTTAGGGCTATTATGAATAATGCTGCTATGAGCACTCCTTTACTAGTTTTTGTGGGAGCCTATGTTTCCAATTCTCTTGGGTGTATATACCTAGGGTAGAATTGCTGGGTCACACGATACTATGTTTAACTTTTTGAGGAACTCCCAAATTGTTTTTCACAAAGGCTTCAGCATTTATGTCACACACAAGCAGTGAATGAGAATTCCAGTTTCTCCACACCCTTATCAACACTTGTATTGTCTGTCTTTCTTATTTTCGCTATCCTAGTGGGTGAGATGTGGTGTCTCAGTGCAGTTTTGATGTGTATTTCCCTAATGACTAATGATGTTGTACATCTTTTCACTTGCTAATTGGCCATTTGTATGTCTTCTTTGGAGAAAAGTCTATTTAAATCTTTGGTCAATTTTTAATTGGGTTATGTTTTTTATTGTTGAGTCTTAAGGGTTATTTATATGCTCTGAATCCTATACCTTTATCAGTCTATTTACAAATATTTTCTTTCATTCTGTGGTTTGGGTTGTCTTTTCACTTTTTTGTTCTTTCTTTCTTTTGCCTTTCTTCGTCATCATACTTTATAATTTCTTCTGACCAAAATATTTTCTAGAGGACAGACACTGTAAGTATTAACGTCGGAATCAGTGAAAACGATCAGTATAGATTAAGTTTTCAAGTCATACTTTCTCAGAAATGTATGTGCACAGGTAATTGAAGATTATCTACAAGCAATCAGTCTTGGAAAAGCATAATTTTTGAAGAACTTTCTTACCCTGTGAGAGTGATCTAACATAAATGAATAATATATATTTCTGTAGTTAACTGAAAATAGGTACATCTCTGTTGCTGAGTTCTAATAATTTTATTCTCTTTAAAAATTTGCATACAGTAAAATTACCAGTATTTTTTTGAACTTCCTACTTCTCAAAATTTGCATAGCTACCCCAATAACACTCTTAAAGCCTTAAGCATAGTAATTTTATAAAGCCTCTTCTCTCCATATGTCTCATAAAATCTCCGGATAAAATGTCCTCTTTTACGATAGCCATCTTTGGAATATTTTATGATGCAGAGTTTTATTTAGGTATGTTGGTTGTTTCAAGCCACGTCACATTATGGTGGTTCTCTGATCAATGTGGCAAGACTGAATATAAGACAATGCAAGTATGGACCACTAGTTATGTTGAAACTCAGACTCTTTGAGGATACAAAAGAGAACCAGCAAGTATGCATCCTTCAAGCTGAGTAAAAGCCATCATTGGATAGAAACAAACAACAACAGAATCATTATGGCTTTGTTGATCACCGTGGTGTTTAACTGACTCTATTTTAAGACTTTTCTACACTTAGCCCCTTAGCCCTCTCTCCCTACTCAAGGTGCAGCAAATCACTTTCTTGTTAATAATGCATGTCTGGTCTTTTCTTGGCTGTGTCTGTATTGCAGTCAGTTGTGCAAGTCCTCAACGCCACTGCCAGCATCCTGGCCCTTGGGGGCCCTCTGCTGTCTTTGCTGTCCTGCTAAAGAACTCAGACTACCAATGGAACTACCCATATTCATGAGTAGTTTTCATGAATTTCAAGTCTTTTTCTGGAGACTAATGGAATTATTTTTTTTTTGGTCTGGAACCCAGAAGACACTTATCTAATAAAATATTAAGTCATAATTTTCTAAGAATTATTTCAACAGATTGAAACATTATTTTTTAAAATGGGTGAGTCAAAGTCATTTACACTACACAAAAGTTAAGCATGTTTCCATCACCACTTTGAAGATAATAAAACCTCTTTCATTTCCATGTCCATGGGAAACTATGCACCCCAAGGTTCTTCACACACAGGAGGGAAGAATCTTCTCAAGAACTCCCTGAAGTCAGTATTCATCAAGACATGGGTATTTGGGATGATCACAGCACATAAGCATTTCCACGAAGTGGACATTTTATTCCAGGTTTCAATGTCCTTCATTTAGTGCAGAAAAGTCAAACACCTGAAGGTTTTCCTTGATCCCTTCAGGATTGAAGCTTTTAGGAATGGCAACTATCCCTTGCTGGATGTTGAAATGCAAAACAACTTGAGCTATTGTCTTATTGCACCTTTTTAGAAGTGCATCCTTTAACAAAGGTAGAGAAGACATATTCACCCAGGTTGGATTCCTAGCGGTCCCCAAAGGGCTATAGGCAATCATGACAATGTCATGTTGTTGGCAAAATTTCAAGAGTTTTGGCCGGGTGAAATATGGGTGGCACTCACCCTGGTTGCTGACTGGCCTGGGTTTGAGTCCTGGATTGCTCAGGATGAGCTCCAGCTGGCCTGCTGTTAAAACTGGATACTTGGAGGGATTTCACGAAGCCAGCGTCTTTGCACGCTTCCAAAGTGTGCAAAGTCTCCCAAGTGGCACACAGATTTGACTTGTGATGTAAACATTTGCCATTCTCACCTATAGGATAGATTTCATCTCCTGGCTTAAGGGAGTATTGGGTATTTCAATGATGTAAAGATCCATGCAATCTAGCTGGAGGACCTTCAGCATTCTCTCTAGGCTTGGGCAGACCAGCTCTGGGTCATATTTGTAGCCCACAGCTTTCCATGGAAGAAGATATCCTTCCTCTGCATTTTTCCTTCTGTTACTTCCCCTGATGGCCTCTGCAACTTTGTCTTCATTTTGGTAGATGCAGGCTTCCTCAGTGTGTCAGCACCCCATGTCAATGACAACCTTTACTGATGAAGATTCAGACTAAATGTAGAGACAGACTACTCGGGCTTTAGTGACAGCTCTACGTGCCACTTACTTGCTCTTTGACCTTGAGTAAGTCAAAGGCCCCCTGAGGGGTCAACTTACCCTCTGAGTAGGTACCAAGTGCGATGACGGGAATGCTGTTTCCATCACTTAGAGGTATTCGGTGATTTGCAGAACTCATTTTCTTCATAGTGTCCTTTGATGCACAAACTTTTAATTTTGATGAAGTACAATTTATCGATTTTATATTGGGTTGCTGTGACTTTGGAGTCTTGGCTATTCTTGTACATTAATTTTTTTCATATCAAGTTTGGAATCAGCTTATCTTGTTCTAAAACCTTTTGTTGCACTTTGGGAGGCCGAGGCGGGTGGATCACGAGGTCAAGAGATCGAGACCATCCTGGTCAACATGGTGAGACCCCATCTCTACTAAAAATACAAAAAATTAGCTGGGCACGGTGGCGCGTGCCTGTAATCCCAGCTACTCAGGAGGCTGAGGCAGGAGAATTGCTTGAAACCAGGAGGCAGAGGTTGTGGTGAGCCGAGATCGTGCCATTGCACTCCAGCCTGAGTAACAAGAGCAAAACTCTGTCTCAAAAAAAAAAAAAAAAACCTTTTGTTGGCATTTTCAATGAAATCGATTAATTAAGGGAGAATTGTGGTCTCCTTAAAAGGGAGATTTCTATCAAAGAAGGGTATGCCTTTCCATTTACCCAAGACTTTTCAGTGTTCTTCACCAATGTTTTTAAGTTTGTTTCATATAGACACATTACAATTTTTAGATGAAGTTTATATCTAGGTTTTAATGTTTTATTATTGTAAATTACTCTGATGTTTAAATGTTGACAACTAACAAAAATGTCAAAACCGCTATGTGAGCTACAGTATTTCAAAGTATTCTATGATCCAAATTCAGGCCGAGTTCAGATCTGCAACCCCAGATCTACTACAGCTCTTCACTTTATAGACAAGAAAGCTGAAGTCTAGAGATGTTGAGTGACTGACTGAAGCCCACACAGTGCGTAGGTGGTAGGTAGAGATATCACTAAAGCCCAAGGCATCTGTCTCTACATTTCACCTGACTCTCAATCCAGGGCTTTGGCATTTTACCAACCTCCATAAAATATTTGAGGGTCTAGGAAAAGGGCAAATGTTCTTATATCCATTGAGAACTTATATTTGCCTAGAGACAGGCTTTACCAACCAAGATAGAAATTGGATAAGAATTATTTTTTTAAAAAACATTAAAACAATGGTCAAATGAGAAAAAAGCACAATTCAGACACACAGATACGTACACATACATAGACACGCCCCAAACCCTCAGACCTCCAGGGCTTCCTGCCTGTGAACCGAAAGGGGGAGTGTGAGTTTCTTGGCCTCTTCGGCAGGTGCCTTCTCAAAGGCCCCACAGTCCTCCACTTCCTGGGGAGGCAGCAGGCGAATAAAGCCAGCCGAGACTCTTTTTCTCTTCATAGTTCCTGCCATCACTGCTTCAGCCTCTGCCTCCCAGCCTCTTTCTGAGGGAAAGGACAAGATGAAGTGGAAGGCGCTTGTCACCACGGCCATCCTGCAGGCACAGCTCCCGATTACAGGTAGGGTCGATGTGTCCATGGCAGGGAGCTTCTAGAAGCTCTTTGTGCATGTGTGGGTGTGGGGGTGGGAGTGGAGCATGGGGAGGGGCTGGGATTGTCTTCGAATCCTACCCTCCTCAAATCAATGGGCAAATGAGCAGTGAGGGGTCTGGCCAGGTGCTGGCATCTGCTCCGTCACGGCGGAGTTGGGCATGAGTTCAGAGCCAGCTTCTTGAAAATGCAGCTCCTCCAGGTACAGATTTTCCCCATGATAAGAGAGGAAGAAAGAAGGAAGCAAGAGAGCAGGCCCAGGGTGGAGAAACGGAGAGGAGTATTTCACGGAAGCTGGACAGGATCGTAAAATGTCAGCCAGGCCATATTTCGCGCTGCGACGTTCTAACCTCTGCGGCTTCTTTCACCCTCTGGCTGGCTCTGTCACTCAGCCCCTTTCCTCCTTTGCCAATAAAGAAGGTTTCACTGGTCAGTCAGGGTCATGGCCTGAAACACCCCAGTGGGCCAGAGACTGAGTGGGGGTGATCACGGAGGAAAGGGGCACGGGCAGGAAGCACCTGGCGGCAGCCTCCACGGTGCCTCTGCACCTCGCGGCCAAGTGTCCGTGTCTAGACTTAGCCCTGTCATGGCTGTCCCCCCGCCCCACCGCCTGGGGCTGCCGGGTGATGTGGGTGAGACAGCATCCCAGGCTCGGTGACTCACCCCAATCCACCCCTCAGGTGGCCTTCTAACTCAGCCAGAGGGCCAGGCATTGACAGAACACGGGCAGATAAGAGGATGTGCCTGGTTAAGTCACTACCACGAGCAGCGCCTGGCCAACAAGCAGGCTCCGTCCCCACCTCATTCCCGTTGGCGGGAGCCCGGCTTTGCTGCAAGCCTTTAGCTTCCACCATCATGTCTAGCCCAGGTAATGAGGAAGAAAAGCGGTGAAAAGAAGACTAGACAAACTGCTCAGGGGGATTGGCCTCCTGGCATCTTCCCGGGAAGCAGGGCAAACTGAATTTTGATTTAAAGAAACAGGGAAGGTGGAACAAGCAAATGTCCTCAGCCCACCTGACTGCTCCCTCAGCCCACCTCGGCATGGGAGTTTGTTCAGGGGCCCTTTTGGGAGGTTGCGAGGAGGCATGGGCACTTCTGCTCCCATCAGGGAGCAGGGCACAGCCCAGGCCAGTGCCCCGGAGGTACTGAGGCCTGTGCAGCCACAGAGGTTTCTACCAGATCACAGCTGTTTTCTCAGAAGAGCCTTGTGGGGTCTGAGTCACACACAGTGCGTGGGGTGAGGGTGCCCAAGCTCGCTCAGAGCAGCCCATGCTTGTGTGCTGGGGACAAAGAGACGCAGAACAGCTGGAATTTAGTGACTTCAGGGGAGACGGCCGGGGCAATAGCTCCAGTTCTAGGCTTCAGGCTTGGGACACCACACCAGGGAGATCATGTAATGTTTCAGGGTCTTTACCTGCAGTTTCCTCACTAGTCCGTTTGTGTTCAGCTTGGAGAGACCAAGGTAGGGGCAAAGTGAAGTTAGAGAGAAAAATGAAAGGCTGCTGGGTGACGGTGGCTGCCAAGCGTGGCAAACAGAACCCCACCCAGCAGCCAAGATGGGGGCCATGCCCCACTTCCACAAACAGGGGGCAGGAGGAGACACTGTACATTGGCTGGATTTCTCGCTTCTCAGTGCCACTTATGTTGCCTCTGTGGAGACTGACATTTTAGCTATTTTAGATAAGGCTAACAGACAAAAGTTTCTCCAAGTGTCCTAGCCCAGAAACGAGGTACAGTAAGGCAAGGTGCGACTCAGAGACGCGTCGACACCGAGGGCTGTGACGGCGCTTGTGCTGCCCGAGGGGACACCTCCGCAGTCTCACCAGAGGAAAGGCCGCTCACAGAATTTCAGTCAGGTCTTCTCTCTTCTGCTCAGTTAAGGACCCATCGCTTACACCTCTTTAAAGTGTCTACTTTTTACTAAGCTGTTATATTTGCATTTCTTTGGAAATGCCCAGATTATCAGAATCAAAGCAAATGATGACCTGGTCTGTCCGAATGAGGAGGCCTCCCTGAGAGAATCTACAAGGCGGTCACCAGGGCTTGAGGCCGGAAGAACCTAAGATGGTGTGCCTAGTGGCACGGGTGCACTTCTTCCTCCAGTGCCCTCAGTGCCTCCAGCTCCCTACTCTGCAGTAGCCAAGCTTGCACCCGGCGGTCAGCGTGGCCTCTGTCTTTTAGCAGTGAGGAGATGCAGCTCTCATATGCAGCCTTGGGAAATGCAAGGCTTCCAGGCTTGTGAGCGGCTCTGCTTTTAGGAAGGTGGCTGGATGAGGTGGAGTGAGCCAGGCTAATCTCAGGTGGTGTCCCAGCACTGCCGCTTCCTAGCTGGACAACCTTAGGAAAGTTACTTAACCTCTCGGAGCCTCAGTTTTGTCACCTCTAAAGAAAGAATTATACCTTCTTTGCAGAGATGTGAAGATGAGAAGTAATGCAATGTGCCCAATACGTAGCAGACAGCCAATAAGAAAAAACTGCATTGACTATTACTATTATTACATCTTGGACAGTCTTCTTGTTTTCAAAACCCAAAAACAGGAGACGGAAACCCATGGCTGGGATTCTTAATTTGCTGTCACTGCGTTGGAAAGCAGCACTGGGCATTTTCCCCAGCTGCTGAAATCCAGCTCAGCCCTCTTCTGATTTCTGGGCACACCCATAACAGCACAGAAACAGCAACGATCCCGGGTTAGGCCGAATGGGGAACAAAGAGCAGAGCTCTGGCTGGTCATAAGATGACTATTACGTCCACCATTTTCATTTTTTAAAGATACTTACTCTGTAGGGGAATATTCTCCTGAAGTAAAAACACGTCTGAAAAAATATATATACAAGATGGGGGCTGTGCCCCATTTTCACAAATGCGGGGAACGGGAGAAAACTTTACATTGGCTGGGGTTTTGCTTCTCAGTGCCGTTTACTTTTCCTCTGTGGAGACTGACATTTTAGCTGTTTTAGATAAGGCTAACAGAAAAATAGTTTTTTAAAGTCTCACTTTGAAAGGAATCAGAAACTAAGAAAGGAATTAGAAACAAAATCCACCCAGTCATCACTGGTTGGGGTGGCCACCTAGGTTCTGAGCCAAAGGGCTCGTGTGGGTGAGGGGCGACTCGACTGAGCATCTAAATGCAAACTCCTTGAACACGAAATCTTTGCTGCAATTGCTTGGAGGCGAATGTGAAGCAAGCTTCTAAGTGATACCAGCACACATGTCTCATCAGTGGCATTTTCACCACCAGATTACTTCGCCTTCCAATCACCCAGCTCTGCTTACCCAAATGAGCTATTTAACTTTTCTATTTTAGCATTTCTCAGGCTTACTAGCCTAGATATCACATCTGCTGCTGCTAAGCATCCCCCAGAAACGGTCCTGGGGGGCCCTGGCTTAGGTGAATAACACTGCTGTATTCATTTTTAAATTCTTTGTTTTTTTTGCTTTCGTTCTTTAAAAAAATTGATTTGTTATTGGATATACACTTTTCCAGTCAAAAGTCGCCCAGTATTGTGTCTCGTGCATTATTTAGAAGGGTCCAGATGCCCTGAAGGAACTCTCTTAGATTAGAGTTGTCCAAACACATGCTTTGGGAATCCCTTTCTCCCAAGCCTTATTTATCTAAGGCTTAGGACCTTATATAGGTCAGCTAATTGATTTAATAAATACTGGAAATAGTTCAAAATAAATTTCTTAGCACTGCTTGGGCCAAGGCTAATTTTTACTAACACTAAAGTGATGGTGTTAGTCAATTTGAACAAACATTTAATTTGGTTAAAAAAAAATTAAACCGGACATTTACCTGTTAATCGAAACCAAATGATAGCTTTAGTCAATGCATGTACATAGTCTGTCTTCCGGTCTAAAAAACAACTTTAAGTTCCCTGAAAACAAAGACGCCCCTGCCACGCTCACAACTCTACCCAGCAGTCAGCATGGTACCTGGAGCAGAGTCAATATGCAATAAGTATCAATAAGAATTGTTGAATGCGCTTTGGAAGGCCGAGGCCGGTGGATCACCTGAGATCATGAATTCGAGACCAGCCTGGCTGACATAGTGAAACCCCATCTCCACTAAAAAAATGCAAAAAATTAACTGAGTGTGGTGGCAAGCACCTGTAGTCCCAGCTACTCAGGAGGCTGAGGCAGGACAATCATTTGAACCCAGGAGGCAGAGGTTGCAGTGAGTCAAGATCGCACCACTGCACTCCAGCCTGGGCGACAGAGCAAGACTCCATCTCAAAAAATAAATAAAATAAGAATTGTTGAATGAATTAAAAGGTGAGTGAATGAAGGACATCTAGATGTTTTCATATGATTACATTAACTTTAATGGTTTATTTGGAGGGTATGTTGAATTGGCATTATTCGGACCTTTCCTCTAGAGAACACAGTATCAAACAATTTAAAAAACAAAACCAAAAAACAGAAATTAAACTGGTGGAGGGGACAGGGTAGTTTGAGTGATTAGAATTATTCGAAATGAGTTGCAAGGATGGTTTAAGATAAAATCTTGCTGTTATAAAAATTTTCTGGTTGGACCATATGAAATTTCCACTATTTGTTTATTTCAGACCTACAAAAAAGATAATTTCATGTGATGCAAATAGCATAACTAAAAATAAAGAAATATGCTTTTTTTCTGATTAGGCTTTAACACTAGAGAAAAGCAGAAAATAAATAAAGCTAAAACTGTTGGAGATTGTTAACTAGTGAACTAAGAATAAATGAATGAAAGGCATCAAGAAAAAAAATACTGGATTTTATAGTATAAATCACAGCATCCAATCACCCAGTGTCCTCAAAATATGAAAGAAAAGAAAGCAAGATACTTACGTTAGTCTGGTTGATCCAGGTTACTAAATAAATATTTCAGGTATTTATTTTTCTCTTCTCTTAGTTTGAGATATTTTAATAAAGATATAAAAATCATTGAAGGAAGTTAAAATTTTTTCAAAATTCCTAACAAGCCAACCCA